ATCATCTCGTGCTAGGGGAGATTGGGGCTTGAAACGTTCTATGCCGCGGAAAGTCGAAAGCACATACATCAAATACAACGACATCGACACCATCGAACATATGACAAAGATCGAATCTGCCCATGACACCGTTATGACCTTGAAGAAATGGCAAGAAATGGATATACCCTTACAACTTCGGGACCAACGTGCTAGGAGCTTCACCTCTGCCTTTTATTTCGAGAATACTCCTTCTCCGGAAAGTCAATCGGACAGTACCCAACCAATCTGGGGTTATAGGAAGAAATTCGTCCAGCATATGACACCAGGACAACTAAAAAATTTCGTAAACAAGAAATTGGTCCCACGCAGAAAGGAGTTTGAGGCATTCGCAAATCTGTGGTTCAGCCCTCCCGGCCTAGCAACGGACCCATCCGAACCGTCCTCCACACACCCCGAACCCGAGACCAGTTTCGAATCATCATCATCATCATCATCGCCATCGCCATCAAAAGCGGCAGCCATTGATGCCTCGGAACCTGTTGTGCTGCCTAATTTCACCATTGAATCCCTTAGTCCTGCTTTGAAAACGGCTAGATTTGACTCCACTAAGGCCTATAATGCCGTCCGCGAATTTCTCCAAATACCTCTTCGGGAAGTGCCCATGACAATACATCCTTCTGCAGGCATGCACTACACACTCGATACTTCATACCTTGAGAACCACCCAGAATATGGCCCAAATCGCAATAGAGAGATCCAAGCTCGACTGATTCACAAGTTAGATAGCAGAATCATTGACACTTATCGAAAGCGAACATACTACGTTATCGGGGGTGTCGTGCAATATGCTCAACATGAAAGCTCGCCCTCAAATGAGCAGACATCATACTCGATTTCCCAGGTAATCAGGGTTACCCCTCTCGCTGCAGAGCTCGACCACCAAGGCAGAATCAGTATCGAATTAGACCGATTTGCCCCCATTCAACTCTATAAAGACCTTGTTGGAAAGACCGCCGAGAAAATCAAATTCGGCGAGAATAAAGACGAATTCGACTCCTATAAAAACGCCTCTAGCCCCACAAATGCCCCATTGAAAGACGGACGAGGCAAGTCGGTTGACCAGCCAGGCGACATGGATCAGAGGCTAGTCTCCTTGCTCGATTTCCTAAAAGATAACAGCAAGCCCGGTCTATAAATGATGATTCCGAGTGTATATATGACTTGTATTCAATGATACCTGTAAATATCTCCATTTCCCTTGCTACACAAGGTAGTTTGCGTAGACATATGTGTGTGTTATATATACCAGATAGACCACCATTTCCTCAATCGCGTGATTTCATCATCTGTTTCTGGTAACCCAAAGCCGGAGTTCAGTTGGGCCCGCACACGAGATAGCGAGGAGACATGATACCCATACACACACACACGGCAGTATCCTGAGAATAGATCGATCAAGAGTCCAAAGTCCAAATCTGCCAATGCTACGATGCGAATCAATGAAGGGGGGGCTGTTGCACGCATGAACAGCTGATTGAAACGAACACAGACGACCAATAACCATAAAACCATGAAACAACCAAAATCTAGACTTTCGCTAATTCTGTATGCTACCGTTGCCAAGATAAGGATCTTTAACGCTCATATTCCCTTCTCCTGTGCCCTGCAGGCGACTTCCGTGATAACTCCAACCTTCAAATTGAATCTGATCGCTTTCGGACAGGCGGGCATCCCCCTCTATGACACTGTCCGCAGGAGCTTCACCGGTGAACTCTGGCGAAAAATTGGTTGTGTCAAGCGCATTTTCCTACAGCATATTCAGCAGACAGAACGAATAGAAGACAAGGAGGGGAGAAGGAGAAGGAGGGTTAGATGGTGGCTTACGACAGCTGGTTTAAAGGTAGGCTGTATCTTTTTTTGTATAAGTCTCTTCCAGTCGATGCTGTCAAAAAATTTATGGTTTTTGATCTCCGCAGCCCCGTTCGCGCCTAACCTTTTGGTCGGGTCTCTGTTCAGTAGTTTCTCCAACAAGTCTCTGGCATCTTGTGGTACGATTTCCGGTCCATGGAATAACAAGGGATCCGTAAGGATTTTACGGTACATCTCGTTAGTATTTTCATCATAGAATGGTGGTAACCCCGTCAACATTTCATAGAGCAGTACACCAAGTGTCCACCAATCAACCGTTTTAGTGTATCCTTGGGACAAAAGAAGCTCAGGCGCAATATATTCAGGGGTACCGCAGAAAGCTAGGATTAAAGTTCCGTAAGCCACAAGTGAGCGAATCAGCAATTCTAGAAAATAGCTTACTATTTGTTTTGTCGTCCTCCTTCATGTTGAGTTTGCACAACCCAAAATCACACAACGCGATGTGACCGGTATAGTCGAGCAAGATATTTTCCGGTTTGAGATCTCTGTAAATAACATTGAAGCCATGCAGACATTCCAATGCGCAGAGGAGCTCTGCGGTATAAAACCTCGAGCGGTTGATATCAAATCGGCCTTCCCGCTGGAGGTGATGAAATAGCTCTCCGCCATTAACAAATGCCAACACCAAATAAAGCTTTTCTGGTGATTGGAAGGAAAACTTTAATGGGACAATGAAAGGGTTGTCGATTTGGGCGAGAACAGTTCTCTCGGCGAGGGTGTGTGTAACCTCGGCCCTGCTTATTATATGGGCCTTCCGGATTGTTTTAAGGGCGTATATCCGTGATGTATCCTTCTTCCTGTTCCTTCATTGTCAAAAAAAAAAAAAAAAAAATATTCACGAAGGTATTCCAGAAGTGGATTATATTCATACCTGACCTGCATGACCTTTCCGAAACTCCCTTTCCCAACGACCTTGAGCAAGTCGAAATCTTCAATAGTAAGAGGTTTACTCTAGATGTCCTACTAGTTTAGTACTATTGAAGCGGGGAGAAGGGGGGGGAAAGGAAAAGGGAAAATACACACCGGGTTCGCAACAAAATCTAACCCAATACGAACGCTTCCACTGCCAAAACCTAAAGTTACCCAGTCGATTCCCGCATGGCCAGGTTGGGGGGCTGATAAGGCAGAAGATTTGGATTTCGGCGGGGTCGTCTGCTGGGGGGGGGGTTCCTCAAAGCGGGGTTGTACTTTACAACTACCCAGGAAGAAATCGTTTTCTCTATGGCTACCAGTGCTCGATGGGTTCCTCAGATAAAGCTGCACTGTAAGATCAGTTTCTCTGGACACGTCGAATTTGTATTGGTTTGCAGGCGAGTCATAAATCGGAGCATTTGGAGCTGGCGATTTTGGAGAGGCTGTCAAGAAAACCTCGCACTTGTCGAATTCTACGACGCAATAAGGGAGATATCGAGGGTGGATTCCGCCACCATGGCTATAGCCAGTGCCCGGCCTAGATGACGAAGTACCCGGTCGGGAGCCAGGTGTGACATAGCTCGCCATCCGTGCCTGGGATGATGTGGGGCGCATTGAGTTGAATGAACCAACCGAGCCGGAGAGAAGACCGGTCTGAGTGGTTGGGATGTTGGGCAGCGTCAGACCTTTAGCCTCGTAAAGTGTGAATACCAGCAAGCCCGGCTTAACCGTCGAGGTGACATGTGTGCTTCCTGTCATTGTAGAGTCAAGAGAAGATGGTGTTGGGGATGTTTTGAGTGATGCCGGTGTAATCGTAGATGTTGAAGAGGACCGCGAAGCTGTTGAGCTAGGAGACGGGGTGGAGAGATGTGTCTCTTTGAGTTCTATGGAGTTGAGGGAAGATATCAAAAGGTCAGCAGACTTGGTTACGCAGTATCAAGTTAACAAGGAGGATAACAAGAGCTGTAGCGATGTATACTCCAAGTATATAAATATACCAGTAATTAAGAGGAGGTGCAGGGGTGAGAAAGGGGCAAAGGCCCTGTGGGGGAGAAAGGGAGAGGGAGAGAGGGAGTCGAGACCACCGAAGTGGGAGCGTTGACCTGGGGTATGGAGCTTGATTTACCCCCTGACTCGAAGTTCCCACACAAGGTGGATAGAGATGGGGAGCGAGCATTTCCGACTTACTCTTGGTGAGCTTCCACGACATGGCTGAGAGTGGAATAAGGTAGAGCCAACAATGCCTAACGATAACAGGAGTGAGGTAAGCCAAAGTATAGACACGCCAGCAGGTGGATATCAGAACAGACACGGCCAAGAGGCAGGAATATATACCTTTTTTATATACTTGAGTAGGTAATAAAGTACGTTAGTAGGTATAGAAAGATGGATGACAACGACGATGATGATGATGATGATGATGATGATGACGATGATGTCGATAACTGATGTTGATGTTGATGTTGATGTTGAGGGTGGTGACGGTGGATGAAACAGTGTGAGAGAATAAGGAGTTGAGGGGGGTGAAAGGTGGAGAGGAAGCTCCCTCAATCAATCAATCAAGCAAGCAAGCAATCAATCAATCCAGTCTTGTCCAACCAACCTCCAGCAACAAACAACACAGAAAATCAGCCTGACTTGGTATATAGGAAATACGGAGTCGGAGGTATGGATCCAAATACGGCAGGGCTTTCCATATTCAACAGCCTAAAGAAGGAATTATACCTGGGTGATTACCTAGTGTTTAGATAGTAAGTAAGTACCTAACATATGTACTTACTATATATACTAAGTATATAGCACCCAAGTAAGTGCTTGGTATAGGCAATATGAGGATGTACATGGAGGTATGCTACATCGTGCTCAATTGTAGCTGGAGTCGGATTTATCGGAGATAAAAATAACAGCAACAAAAGTCTGTAAATACCTCCCTCGTACAGATACCTGGCCTCGTACCGACTATAGTTACATTTTCTACTCCCTATGATATCTTATGCAAGGCATACTACAACACTACCTTAAGTAAGTAAGTAAATTAAGTAAGTAAAGTATTAAGAGGCTATATTACTACGAAGAGGTATCTGAGTTAGGTATTTAGTGCCTGGTTATCGATGAAAATTGGGGGGGGGGGGAAATGTGGCAACAAAAAACAAAAAACAAAAAAAAGAGAAGACAAACGACCATAGCAGAACTCGAATCTGCAACCTCTGCTTTACTAAACTGCTTGAGGCAATCAGACAGTAGGAGAGCAACGCGCTACCATTGCGCCATATGGCCTGTTGTTGATGTCGTCCCTGCAAAAACGTCAATATATATTATCTAGCGAACTCAGTACTTAGGATCCTCCTACCCACTAGGTAAGTGCTTAAATACCTAAGTAAATACTTACTTAAGCACCTCTGACTGACTTGCTTAAGAACTACCGACCTAAGTAGCTTAAGGACCTGACCTATAATCAAGAAGTAGGAACATAGACAGATATATTAAAATAGCAGATACCAAAGCGCTTATATTAACTATAATTATTGCCTATAATACATTGGAAACTCGAAACCAAACTCCGGACCCCAACAATGCAATATGCCTATTCTACAACCCAGTACCACGGCAAAAAGAAAAATCGTATGCATACTTAAGTATATGTGAGAGTATCATAGTTGCACAGGGAATTCAATCGCTTTTCAAACTTGAAGGTCGGCAAAAGAAAACAGATTTCGCATCAACTGTGCGCTTTGAGCATTATTCGTTGAACATATCTCTTCGTTTCTATCCTCCGCCAGCGCCTTGATTGCACACAGGATATTCGTCAATGGCCGGAACTTGTCCCGGTTGTCGCTCATTCCAGGTACCCACTCCATACGGACCGCTTCATCTTCCCAAAGCTTCGATAGAAATGTCCGAAACGGGATTGGATATAAGAAGCTATAGAAAATATGGTGTGTTATTATAACGTCGAAATTTACTGCGAAAATAGAGGAAAAAAAAGAAGGGAAAAAAGGAAGGGGCCCAGAGCATACCCTAGTTGTTCTATGTCATGGAATCGCGCTCGGAGGAACAGCTTTAAGTTATCCACAGTATTAAAGGCCGCTGCCATTCCGAGAGTCAATTGGAAAGGTAGTAGCGACACTTGCGAGCTATCGGGTTCGTATGAAGCCGTTGCCGCTGCTACGAGGTCGCAAATTGCGGCGCACTGTCTAGCCATATATTCTTCGTCGAAGCCATATAATACACTGCGCTGGTGATGTATAAGCATTCCTATAGCATGTATTTCTGCGAATATGTAGTTTATTTGGGAGTGTATTATAGGAGAGCTCGATTGAGTAGCAGTTCCTAGATCGGAGAACTGGTTCCAAAACGACTCGATATCCTTCGATGCGTCCATCATCGCTTGTTCGTAAGATCCATAGTCGCAAATCCCATTGAACCGTGCCTCCAAAATGTTTACAACTTGCATGGTAATTCGACGGCAAGACGACTCGGCGCTCAGTGCCAACCAATAGAGATTGTCAGGATGTTGAGCGAGCTGTGTACGGCATGAATCATAAGCTGCGTCATACCATTCAGTATCGAGGACAGTGGAAAGTCCAGCAATCATGGAAACACTGAGATCTATCCGAGTGAACCATGAGAAAATAGGGTAACCTTCCGATGTGTCAAGTATCGACTGCGGCGAAAATAGAGATTCTAAGATCATGAACGCCCCTTTGCGATGTTCGATCAAATTTGCCCAATCCCCAAGATACTCTTCGAGGGTCGCGAGTTGAAGGACCGTAAGGAGTGTGAATACGTCCGGAGGTAGATTTTCTTGGAATGATTCTCGTAGGGAAACAATTGCTCTGTCATGCAGCCCAAAGAAGATCTCTGTTGACGATGTCCTATCTGTTCCGGTAAAGTGCGCCTCGTTGATAAAATAGTGAAGTGCAGAGAAAGCGACAACTGCGTAAAGCAGCGCATCATTTTGCAGTGCGTATGACAACAATACATCGTTGAAGAAATCCGAGGAATCACTTTTGAGTAAGTAATGGCGAAAATTGATATTTTGGCGGTGATATTGGAGCCAGAAATGTATGTCAAACTTATTCGGAGAGGGCTCTGTTTGAGCCAGTTCTGGTAGCGGTCTTCGGATTGGTAAATCGGAAATCACCAAATCGGAATGGGAATCATGGCTATATAGTGGATAACGGGGCTCCGAGTAGCTCTCCCCGTTGCATACTCCGATAGGACTCAGGCTTCTGTGTGACCGGGTTGAACCGGGAGCCGACTGAGCGAGACTTGGGGAATCCAATGGGTATGCACTCAGATAACGGAGGGTGACTGGTTGAATATCAGAAAAGTAGGCGTCTGATTCTGGATCTTCGGGAGACGGGCTCTTTTCCGGTATTTGAGTAGAGTTGGAGGTACTTGATTGTTTTCTTTTTGTCCTGGCGCTCTTTGGTGTCGACGTGTCTGGGAAAGTGCATTTTCGACCACCTTTTGAGCAGCCTATTACCCGAGGAAGGGTTAGTTTTTGTTATAGGAAGTAAGATGTCGACTGTATCTTGAGATATAAAGGATGAGGCATGACGCCGGATCAGATTAAGGTTTGACTTACGTTCACAGATGGGCCTTGCTTCATCACACTATGATATTTATTTTCATCTGGCGTCAGCACAAGATATTACTAAATCTAACCTGCTTCAAGAGAGCTGCTCTAACCTTTACACGACGGGCTCGACAGGTGAAACAGCCTGATCTTGTTCGGCGATGTTTGATATGCTCGCTAGCCCCACCGAGGTCGAGCCTCATTTCGGATTTCTGCCACCTCTGTCCAAAACTCGAATTCATATGATCCATGGTGAAGGCTTCTTCTTGATCGTATGCGATTGTTGAGTAGTAATTTGGAAGCGTCTGGAGTCGAAAAGTAGGTTGGGTTGGCTGTGTGAACAACGGGTAGCATGCAACGGTTTCCGGCATTCTCTGATTAATTGAGATCACAAAGAAAAGGAAGGTTAGGCAATATGTTCAATTATCCAGCAAGTCTATCGATATCGGCATCTGTGGGACGAAGTCGACTCGAAATAACCAGTTGATGTATTGGCGAAAAATGATAAATATCCCAAACAAAGAAGGACTGAAGGCCTGTGGATACTATTGTATAAACGAAAGTGAAACCAATGGCTTAGCTTAGCTCGACCTAGCTCGGGCTAATCCTGGTGGTGGTTTGTGTCAGCGAATGATGGTGATGCTAGCTATGATGCCAATCTGTATCGATGTGAGGGGGCCAGATGCTTATATATACTAAGAGGACGTTAGGACTGACTTACTTACTTAGATGCATGGTTCCACGGTCCCACACGAGCTGGAATCGTCATAGCTCGTGGTTGAGACATGTTGCGGCGTCAGCGGCGTCGTTAAGGCAGCGGCGTCGATGCGGGACGCTTTGGCATTGGAACCAAAGTTCTAGTTCGGTGTAACAGTCTAGCCTGAGCATGCCGACGGGATGGGAAACATATACAAGGGTCTGCTCAGGGACAGCTGCACGTGTATACGTACCGGTACATGTGCTTGCATGGGAATGTAGGTACCAGATAATGGGCAGTGCAGGTCTGCAGCTTGCTGTTGGCTATTCCAGAAAAATCCGCAAGTCGGCTAATTTGAGGCTATTCCCAGAGCAGGCAAGCGTGGTTTATTTTTTCCTTCAGAGGTCGCAGAATCCTTCTTGAACGGGAATTTACCAGCACCGCCGGGGTGGTGATAATTATGGAAATACGCCACAGTGCTGTAAGCGAGACGCGGACAGGTCGACGCCGTTCAATCGTTCAGTGCAGTGATGTCCAAGACAGCACCTATTATAGCTTGTACTTATACTACTTAAGTAGATACTAGGTAGGTAAGTATATTATCTGTACCCCTCGAACCGAGGAAGAAAGGTACAAACATACAGACTTCTAAGATGGTGTTGAGACTAAGTGCACGCGCAAATCGACTGGGCAGCCGGGTGAATCTGTCATGTCATGTCATGTTATATGTCGAGGGAAGGGTTGGTGTTGATGTCATCGAATCCACAAGCCCAATCAGACACTCATCGAGTGGTACCGGTACACTACCTGCATGCCTTCAAAACGTTAGGCCGGGGGTTTACTATAATTAGCTGGTGACCGTTATGGGGAGGAATTAAGCAGCAGCAAACCTTGAATAGAACACCCAGTCGAGTTAGTTCGCAAAATAAGGTATCCCCAGTCGCATCCTTGTTCGCTCAGCCCCAACACCAAAAAAAAATAAAACACCCCACAGTTTAACTAGTATACTTCACTCAATGTAATAATAAAGCAAGTCAAAAAATATCATAAAGTAGGATAAATAAAAGTATGAGTGTAAAAGATAAGAGAAAATGGAGATGGTAGTAGAAGTAGAAGTAGAAGTAGAAGTAGAAGTAGAAGTAGAAGTAGAAGTAGAAGTAGAAGTAGAAATAGAAATATACCAGCAACCGTTATCAAGTTCCCAACCTGTCTCATCGCCCTCGCAAAGCAAAGCAAAGCTGAATCCCATAGAACCGTCCGAACAAAGGAAAACCAACAGGGCCAAAGGACAAAATGCATGTAAGGAAAATGCGAAAAAGAAGAAGAAGGGAAAAGGTAGAAGGAAAGCAAGGAGAAAGGAGATGCTGTCAATACGACAATCACGTATAGGTCTAGCATGAAGGGGGTATCACCTTGTAAGGCTGGATTTAAAGTAACAAAAATGGGCTTTCTCAAGCCGCCTAATGAGACAATATCATCCCGGCTATGCGGCACTGGCAGCCGACTCCTCCCCAGGAACGCCAGGGCCATCTGTGCCCTCCTCCACACCTTTACTACGACACAGGGGACAAGAATTACGTCCTGTGGTCAGCCACTATAGTGAATGATTGTCAACAACAGGCCACGAAACGGGGGGAAGGGTCTCCTGGACCAGCTAAGCGTACCTCATCAATACAATCCTTGTGAAATACATGGTGGCATTTGGCCAATTGCCGGCAAATCTCGTCATTTTCAAAATCGCTCAAGCAAACGAGGCATCGCTCGCCAGGATTCAGTTGGATAACAGTGACGCCCTGGCTGCTCTGGCCGGCCAATGTTCCCTGGAGGCGCACCGTAAAAACCCCCCCGGCTGATTCAACGTCCTCTCTTGAAGCGACCGGGGGTTTCACCGGTGCGATTAATGACGATAGTAGCATCATATCTTCGTAAGTTGGTGTCTAAATTGCCAGATTAGTTGTCTTTGTTCTTCGATGAAGTGTAGCTGAAGGTGTGAAGGAA